GATTAAAACTAATTTTAAACTAAATGATTGCTATAAAGAAATAGAGTTTAAGAGATTGGAAAGAGACTTAAGTTGTAGGATTCACCACTAAGCACATTCCCTAACTCACTAACTTTCAACTAATTGGGGAAATAATACTATGTAATCTATATGTGGCTAATAATTGTAATGAAAAGTGTAAACCATCAATTTCAAGCATGAATCAACTACCTAATGACAATTAAATTAAGTGTAGTGCAATTCACCAATTCAAAGCATGATTCATCAATTCAAGTTACAAATTTAACACACATTAATCTAGAAGATATGTAATTGTAACAATAAGTATGGATTTCAAACAATTGTATGGATTGTCTACTTACCCAATAATTAAATTACAATTAACTAACTAACCTTAAATTAATCAAACCTGAAATTAAACTATTTAAACTAGACATTAACCTAATTGTGTAGTACAACCCATCTAATATAAGCAATTTCTATCAAATTAGAACACAATTATATCAAATTAATACAATGCATAGCCATCACATGATTCAATTCACAAAGAAACCAAGTGTAAAGATCAATTATCATTCAAAAACATATAAGACAATATGAGATTGACAAAGATAATCAATTGAAAGAATTATTATATATATACCAAGGCTATAACAAAAATTACATAAATTAAATCCCCAAAATAGTAAAAAGAGAGAAAGTTTAGGTTACATGCTTAGGGTTTATCCAACCCTAAGTTGAAGAATTAGCTACTCATGGTTGATGGATGCAAGATGTCAACAAGCCCCATCCTTTGATTCATCTAGCTCCTCTTCTTCTTCTCTGAACTTTTCTCAAGAACCCTAACTTTTTTTCTTCTCTTCGTGTTTTCCAGAGAGAGCGATAATAATACGATACAAAATATCAAACTTCTTAATCCCTCCCTTAATAAAAATAAAACTCTCTAAACTAATAAAAAAACTAACCCTAAAAATAATGGGCCTATTTCCCTTAAGAAACAAACTCTATTTAAGCCCAATAGTTAAATAAATAAATAAACCCAAAAGACAAAATCCCATAATGCTGCCAGGGACTGGGGGATCGATCCCCTAGCCTTGGGGATCGATCCCCAAAGGGCATTTTTAGTTCTGTGAATAGTGGGGGATCGATCCCCCACTCTGGGGATCGATCCCAGGTGTTGGAAATCTCCTTGAAGCTCCATTTTAGCTCTATTTTGTGCCCCGGGCTAATCCGTTTACTTCTTGATCTTTGGGAACATCATTAAAGGCCTGGAAAATGTAGATTGACCACTTTTGAAGGATGAGCACACTATACGAACAATGGTTGCGGCCTCTTCTTGCCATTTTCTGAACTTTTTCTAAATGTCTTTATTTGTCTCCAAAAATGATTTAATAAACCGAAATTAGTCCGTTTGAACTTTATTGACCTGAAATTGACAAAAACATAAATCAGAACTAAAACATGAAAATAAGATAAATGCAAGGACTAAAATAACCTAGTTTAAGTGTTGAAATGTGCAACATTTAAGCACTTATCATGCCCCCAAACTTAGATATTGCTAGTCCCTAGTAATGAACTACAGTATGAAAATGAAACAAACATATATACAACTATGAACTAATAAAGCAAATCAAGATAACACCACTTTCGTAGGGATCACGGTTGCATTTAACAAATGCAACAAGCCTTTTAAACCCCTAGGTTACCCCTAATGGACGAGTGAAGTCTCGTGAGGGTTTCCAGAAATGGTACCCACAAACATCAACAACTCTTTCTCACTTGAGAAGCAACGACACATATCATACAAGTGTTGACAGTAAACTACTTCAAGTATGCAAATTTCTGTCATTTCTAAGCTATTCTCAACATTTCAACATCATGTAAGCAAAAATAGTCCTCCACACATCAAGCAAGTTATTCATGCAAATTGAATCAATTCTATCATTCTTTTTTAGTGAACCGGTATCAAAATATATTGCTATCCTAGCAAATCAAAGTAATGGTGTAGCCTTATCCTCAAACTAGCATTCAGACATAGTACCAGACATCAAGACATTTAACGAACCTTATTATTCAATCAAATTTTTTTTTTTTTTTTATTGATTTCATTTAATTTTTTTTTTTTAATTTTTTTAATTTTTTTTATGTATGACTATGTGTAATGTTCAAGTTCCTTAAGCTCTCTAATCACCCCAAGTAATAAGCATTGAGCCAACGACTCCTAAACCAGATGGTCTTAGGGCATTAAGTGTAAAGACACTCCTAAAGGCGTAATGACTCCGAATGACTAGGCTACAAACTCAAACTAATCATACATCTTACATTATTTCCTTGTCTTTCTTTTTAATCAGTTGACATGCTGAAAGAATGCAGTTTTTTATTTTTATTTTTATTTTTATTTTTATTTTTTTTATTCCTCACCTTTAGTGAGTGCTTTTATTTCTTTTCTTTACAAGGTTATTTTATCAAGAATGAAATCTTTCAAAGCATACTAGCTCAATTGGGATAAACGAAGACAATAATCAACTAAGCATGTACCCCACAAATTGAATGCTAGTGTGCACAAGTGTAAGTGTAAAATTTTAGAATCAACTCTCAAAATAATTTCAACCAACAAGATGATGTGTACCACAAGAGCAAACATGATATCAAAAATTAAAAATTTACTCCTAAATGGCATCCTAGAGCATACAAGAAGTATTAGACTCTAATAACTTGTTTTTCAAAGGCACTATGCTTCAAAAATTCGAAATCATTGCCAAACACATCTCAAATCTCATCATACATTTAAAGCTCAACTTAAAATAGAATGAATCATGATGACCTTACCCTCAAACTTAAACTGTACTGTCCTCAATGTGCAATGAGAAGAATAAAAAATAATGGAAAGAGTATACCGTGATGGCAAAGATTATGAAGTGCGGCAATGATCCAGTAGGAAAGATGTCTCCCCCAAACTTGGATACAAAAACTTAACTGTATAACCATACTAGCAAACTCACATCAAATATCACATGGGATAAACAATTCATACAGTTCAAAATAATATATAACACAATGCAAAGAGATATGAGTTGAAACCCTTGATAAAATCTGAAAACATTCATAATCAGTCAGAAGGTCATACCGGTAACATATATTTTTTAATTTTTTTTTTTTTTAATTTTTTAATTTTGTTTGTTTTATATGTATGTGTGTGTGTATATATATATATATATATATATATATATATATATATATTTGTGTATTTTTGTTGTTTGTTTTTTTTTTTTTTTGTTTTATTTATTTATCTATTAATTTATTATTATTATTATTATTATTATTTTAGAAACAAAGAAAAAGAAAATGTATATACAACTTACAAAATAAAAAATAAAAAAATTGGCTAAGTTAAACGTCTCTAATAAGATGGAATGTTATTTTTTTTTATTTTTATTTTTTTTTTTGTATTATAAATTTTTTTTTTCTATGTTTTTTTTATTAGTATTTAATTTAATTTAATTTTTTATTATTATTTTTTGTTATGTATTTTTTATTAGTATTTATTTATTTATTATATATTTTTTATTATTAAATTTTTGTTATTTAAATTTGTTTTTTTTATTATTATTTATTTATTATTATTATTTTTTTGTTAAGTTTTTTTTTAATTATTTAATTAATTTATTTATTTTTTATATATAAACAAAGGAGGCCAAAATCGCCGGAGAGGAACGATCGACAAGCTCGCCGGAAGAAAAGCGACCCAGAACTATGGCGCCGGAAATCACGAAGCGAAGAACCCAAATCGTCGGAAATCGTGGCCGGAGGAGAACCAGCCTTGATCGCCGGCGAGACCAAGCCGAAATCACCAGAGAGAATCCAGATGCGATCGCCGGAGAGAAAGCAGCCACGATCGCCGGAGAAGAAACCAGCCGCCATCGCCGGAGAAGAAGCCAGTCGCGACGCCGGAAGACGAAGCCAGATGCGACGCCGTTGCTGTTGTTTATTTTATTTTATTTTTTTATTTGTTTTTTTCAGACCTACAACCCGAACTAGCTGGAGAGGACCAAGCCAGAATCGGACTGATTCAAGCACGGCCGAAAGGACCTGCAACCCAGAAACCGTCGCTGCTGCGAATCACGGCTGGAGAAGACAGTACCCGGATGCGACCACCGTTGATCAAACCCTTCAACACCGCGGAAGGGAGGATCGAACAGAGAGGGACGGTCTAAGAACTTGGGAGTTTGGATTTGGGTGAAGAGGTTTGAGGGTTGGGTAGTGAATGGAGGCGAGAGAGAGAGAGAGATAGTAAGGGCAAGGTTAAGGGGTTGGATCACCCTAAGCAAGGGATTGACAATTTTATACCAAAAAAAAAAAAAAGTTTCCCTTGACTGTGTAACGTGAGAAAGTCGTTGGAGATTGATCCCCCTGGTTGGGGGATGGATCCCCATGAGCCTTTTTTATGTTAGTCTCAACGATCTCCCACCCATTTTGAGAATAGATCTTTTTTATTTATTTATTTTTTTTAAAACAAAATTAAAAATACTATATATATTAAAATAAAATATAAATAAAATAAAATAAAATAAAAATAATAAATAATATTGAAATAAAATCACAAAACAACTTATACGAACTAGTTCTATTTTTTACTCTTTTTTTTTAATTTTTTAATTTTTTATGTTTTTGAATAAAGCAAAACTAACATGAAATATATATAAAAATAATAAAAAAAATAATAATAAAATAGAAAAAAAATCAAACACTAACCCATATTACCCATTTACAAATTTTTATTTTTTGTTACTTTTTTTTTTTTCTTTTTGAATTTAAAAATGCATAAATGTACAAAAGGAAAAAGAAAAATAAAATAAAATAAAATAATAATAAAATGGAAATTAAAATGTAACGAAGGAGAAACTCGATACAACTAGTGTTTAACGTAGCTAGAAAGGCGTGAGATGCTCTTAATCTTCAAAGTAAATGGGATCTACCAAGAGGGCGGATTCCACATTTCTTTAAAGAGCTTGTCCATCAATGTATGGTTTAAGCCTTTGACCATTAACTTTGAAAGTCCCTTCATCTTTTGGATTTTTAAGTTCAACCGCCCCATGAGGTGAGACAGAGATGATTTGAGAAGGGCCTTCCCATTTGGTTTGAAGCTTTCCAGGGAAGAATTTGAGCCTAAAGTTGAATAACCAAACCTTTTGACCGGCCTCAAAGGACTTTTTCACAATATGTTTATCAAGAAATGTTTTTGTCCTTTCCTTGTAGATTTTTGAACTATCATGGGCTTCATTTCTCAATTCTTCTAACTCATTGAGTTCGAGCAAACAGTCCTGTCCAGCCTTTTCAAGATCAAACTTGAGCATTTTTATTGCCCACCGGAAGATGACAAGGCTTTCCATAAATAAGTCTATATGAAGACATGCCTATTGGAGTCTTGTAAACTGTCCGATAAGCCCACATAGCATCGTTCAATTTTCTTGACCAATCTTTTCGGGTCGGATTGACAGTTTTCTCAAGAATATGCTTGATTTCCCTATTTGACACCTCGACTTGCCCACTTGTTTAGGGATGGTAAGGAGTGGCTACTTTATATGTGACAGAGTATTTCAAGAAAAGTTGCTTCAAGAATTGATTACAGAAATATTTTCCTCCATCACTTATCATAGCCTTTAGCATACCAAAACGAGCAAAGATATTTGATTTAACGAGTGCAATTACCATGGAGTGGTCATTCGTTTTAGTAACACAAGCCTCAACCCACTTTGAAACATAATCAACGGCAACGAGGATGTATTGAAAGCCATAAGACATTGGGAATGGTCCCATAAAGTCTATGTCCCATACATCGAAGATTTCAACAACGAAGACTGAAGTTAAGGGCATCATGTCTCTCTTGGGGCCAGAAGAGCCCACTTTGAAGAACCTTTAAAGCGGTCTTTTTTTCCATTGAAATGCCCACCACAAGCAAGTGTGTGACAAAACACAAGGACGCTCGGAACTTCACTTTCCGGCACACATCTCTTTATGATTTGACCCGAGCAATAACGAAACAGAATGGGATCTTCCCAATAGTATTTTCGGATGTTAGCAAAGAATCGGTCCTTTTCTTGTTTTGACCACGTAATGGGAAGTTTGCCGGTTACAAGATAGTTAACAATGTCGGCGAACCAAGGCAACGTCCCATTTGAGATTTGAAAGAGTTGTTCATCTGGAAATGATTCATGAATTTCAAGATTTGGAGAAGATTTAACCATTAATCTAGATAGATGATCGGCAACGACATTGTCGGAGCCCTTTTTGTCCTTGATTTCAAAGTCAAATTCTTGAAGAAGTAGGATCCATCTTATCAAGCGAGGTTTGGTTTCCTTTTTCATTAAAAGTTGTGACATGATCGGAAAACACAATTACCTTGGATCCTAAGAGATATGGCCGAAATTTATCAAGGGCATATACTACGGCAAGTAATTCTTTCTCGGTGGTAGAATAGTTCAATTGGGCAACTGAGAAAGTCTTACTCGCATAGTATATAGCATATGGTAGTTTACCTACCTTTTGCTCCAAAACAACACCCATTGCGAAGTCGGAAGCATCACACATAATCTCAAATGGTAAGGACTAATTTGGAGGTTGTATGATGGGAGCAGATGATAGAAGAGTGCGAAGTTGATGAAAAGCATTTAGGCATGCTTCATCAAAGATAAATGGAGTCTCCTTAGCAAGAAGGTTACACAAGGGTCTAGCAATTTTGCTAAAGTCTTTGATGAACCGGCGATAAAAACTGGCATGTCCTAGAAAGGAGCGGATTTCTCTCACCGTAGTAAGTGGAGACAATTCGGAAATCAACTCAACTTTCGCTCTATCTACTTCTATTCCTCTTTTAGAAATGACATGTCCAAGCACGATTCCTTCTTGAACCATGAAATGGCTCTTTTCCCAACTTAACACAAGATTAGTCTCACGACATCTTTGAAGCACTGTTTTGAGATTTTGGAGACATGAATCAAATGAGGATCCAAAAACTGAGAAGTTATCCATGAAGACTTCTAAATACTTCTCCACCATGTCCGAAAAAATTGACATCATACACCTTTGGAAAGTGGCAGGAGCATTACACAATCCAAAAGGCATCCGTCGATAAGCAAATGTATCGAAGGGACATGTGAATGTGGTCTTTTCTTGATCCAATGGATCTAGGGCCACTTGATTGTACCCCAAGTAACCATCTATGAAGTAATAGTATTGTTGCCCTGCTCCTTCCTAGTGGCGGAATTCAGCTTTCGGTAATCTATGCAAACACACCACGAAGTGGCGGTGCGTTTTGAAATGAGATCACCCTTAGCATTTTCAATAACTGTGATTCCTGACTTTTTGGGAACCACTTGAGTTGGCCTAACCCACTTGGAATCAGAGATAGGATATATGATTCCCATATCTAGAAGTTTCACAACCTCCTTCTTGACAACTTCCTTCATATTTGGGTTCAATCTCATTTGAGCATCCCTAAATGGCTTTTCATCATCTTCCATGTGTATACGATGCATAAAAATAGAAGGATCAATGCCTTTAAGGTCAGCCACACTCCATCTAATGGCTTCTTTATTAGCTTTAAGCACTTCCAAAAGATCATTCTCTTGGTCATTTTCAAGATTTGAAGCAATAATGACCGGAAGAGTCTCTTTTAGGCCTAAGAAGGTGTATTTCAGATTTGATGGAAAAGGCTTTAGCTCAAGAGTAGGAGGAGAGATGAGAGAAGGAACTGGTGGAGTACTAGAGAGTGAAGGAAGATGTTCTTTCTTGCTTTTCTAAGGTGGGAAATCCAAAGTGGCCACAGAGTCCATCAAAGCATTCACCTCACTTATGGATCCTTCTGTGTCAAAACCACAACTTTCAAACATTTCACAAAGGCACGCCTTAAGAGTGTCCTTAGATAGAATAGAGGGAAGAGTCTCCTCTATGGTTTCATCCAAAATATCCACTAGGAAACACTCGTCTTCATCTGTGGGATGTTGACTCGCATTGAAAACATTAAGTTTAACCATCATGTTGCCAAAAGAGATGTCCATAATGCCAGATCTACAATTAATGGTGGCATTGGCAGTGGCAAGAAATGGTCTTCCTAGGATAACTGGAATGTGATTGGTGAAATCAGGGACTGGCTCAGTATCAAGTACCACAAATCAACCGGCAAATAAAATTTATCAACCTTAATCAAGATGTCCTCAACAATTCCCCTCGGTTTTTTAATTGATCTGTCGGCTAGTTGGATTACTATCGATGTTGGCTTCAAGTCCCTAATCCTAATTACAAGTAAACAGAGTATGGAATAAGATTAACACTTGCACCTAAATCAAGGAGAGCTCTACGAACCTCTTGGTTTCTAATAACACAAGAAAGGGTTGGAGCACCCGGATCCTTGAACTTAGGAGGAGTGTTAGACATAATGATGGAACTCACTTGTTCCGTTAAAAGCACTTTCTTAAGGTCCCTTCCTTTGCTCTTCCTCTTTTGTGTGCACAAGTCCTTCAAGAACTTTGCATATGGTGGAATTTGCCTAATTGCACCTAGAAGAGGAAGATTGATTTTTACTTGTTTGAACACTTCCATCATATCATGAATTTTTCCTTCTTGTCTCCCAAATGATGAAGTCTCTCTCAAAGCTTGAGGAAATGGAGCTTTTGGCTCATAAAGCTTCTCTAATTGGGGAGATGATGATGAAGATGAAGGAATTTCCTTTTTGGAACCACTAGCATCCAAAAAAATATGAATAGGATTTGGAATGGGACGGATGCTACCACTTGGTTGCTTCAGTTCACTATCCTCCTTAGGTACCTCTACCTTATTATCCACTTTCCTACCACTCCTCAAGGTACTAATAGCTTGAACTTGCTCATTTTCAGAAAATTACGATGAAGGACTTGCTTGTGCCATAAATTACCCCTTAGGATTGGTTTTAGTTTGACTAGGCAACTTACCTTTCTCTCTCACATTTAAAGAATTAGCTAATTGCCCGATTTAAGCTTCAAGCTTTGCAATTAATTGAGAGTGAGAATGAAACAATTGATTATCTTTTCGAAGATCACCTAAGGCTTACAAGACCTTGTCCTCAAAAGCGGGACTCTTAGGAGGCGCTTGATTTGGATTAGAGTAAGATTGAGAATTTGATGCTTGAGGATGAGAGTATTGATTCACATTCTGAGGATAGAATGAAGGACAGTAACCTTGAGAATTCTGATTTAGATTTTGAAGATGTGGGGGAATATACTTTGCTTGGTAACCTTGAGTTTGAGGAGGGTTTGCATCGTCTCCTTGATTTCTCCATGCAAAGTTGGGATGATTTTTCCACCCCGGATTGTAAGTATTAGAATAAGGGTTGTTCCCTTGATAAATGAAAGCGGCATTTGCTTGTTTTTGAGGCTCTCTTGGGATTATTTGTCCAAGAGGACAATTTGAAGTATGGTGAGTGTAACTAGAACAAGTTATGCACATTTCATTGGAATGATGAGGATAAGATTGAATTGCCGGTCCTTGATTCAAAAGGAATGTATCAAACCTTTGAGTAAGATTTTTGACCTCAGCGGTAATTTCCATGGAAGAGTCTATTTGATTTAGAGCTTTCTTTCCTCCCACATTTGCTAGGTGACCACCCCTAGAAAATGAAGATCTATGCATTGAGTTTTCACTCATTTTTTTGAAAAGAAGCCAAATTTCATCTTCATTTCTTTCTATGTAGCTTCCACTCTAAAAAGCATCAACAATGCCCTTATTGGCATCGGATAAACTTGAAAAGAAACATTGAACTAATTACCACTTAGGAATGTCATGATGTGGACACTTCCATGGCAAGTTATTCAAACGTTCCCATGTTTCATGAAAGGGTTCTCCTTCTTGTTGTTTAAATTCACGAATGGAAATTCTCATGGCATCAGTTCGACTTGCGGGGTAATACTTCTTTAGGAACTCTTGTTGCAATTGTGCCCAAGAGGTGATTGTATTTGGCCGCAAGTTGTTAAACCAATATTTAGCTTTATCCCGAAGAGTGAAAGGGAAAAGTTTCATTTTTAGGACTTCTTCCGGAACATCCGTGATTTTTACAGTGGAACAAACTTCCAAGAACTCATCTAAATGTTTATAAGACTCTTCATTGCTCAACCCATAGAAAAGGGGGCACATGTTAATGGTAGAAGCCTTAATCTCATAATGATGAGCACGAAAATTTGGCAATTGAATGCAAGTGGGTGTATTATATTGATTTGGAGTGTAACGATCCTTAAGGACCATTGGAGGATTGAGAGGATTGAGAAGAGGATATGACATTCGACCTTGCAGATTGTATGCCATTTGACCTTGTTGAGGGTATGCCATT